GCGACACAAATAGGAAGATATAATTCAAGTAGGGTGAACAGCAGTTTGATATTGATATTTGGTATAACATAGGGAGACAGATTAAGAATAGTCAAGATGCATCTAACCTAGACTAAGAAGACATCAACTGTGAATTGACCTAATTGTGCATGGTGTAGCCTGAGCAGACACTGGTAAAGAAGTGATGAAGAACAATAAATAACAAAGGTCTTCACTCCGATAAAGCCTTTCAAGGACCTAAAGTTTACATAGAGAAAGACTGCAAAGTATTCATAGTACGTCTACGCGGTGATGCTAGATAATCAGTAGCTAAGATTTGCAGTGCATTGTTTTGCAGTTTGTTCCTCTCCAGGACTGCACTCCGCAGATTACCACGACGAGAATGAAAATCCCACAAATCTCGGTAAGTCCCGAACGATGTTTGCCACTCACAGTTTGAGGAGCCCAGATGATCTGTACGTCTCATACCCCGGGATGGAAACTTTAGTCTCGGCTGTTTATTATTCAAGTCCTACAGACGGAAAGAGCTTGTGGCGCAGACGTCTGGTATGGAACAATTATGTAGGATGCAATTTTTTTTTTGTTATTTGAAGCCCCACTTGGCTTCGGCCGGGAGCCCTGAATATAGCCGGGACATTGATATGGCCTAGCCAAAGATATGGCCGAACGACTGAAAGGGGTTTTTAGGACCTCTCCACGGGTGATCCTCATCCGCATGGTGGCACTTTGTGTCACCAGGTGTTTATCGCTTGTGTGATGTCCTTGTTAGGTACAACTACCTACATACCTACCTAGGTTTTGTTTCCTCCCTTGTTCTGTCTTTGCTGTGTTCATAGTTCTGCCTTGTCAAGGTTCGAAGTCCAGGCAATTTGCTAACAGGCTGTTTTGTGTTGATTTCGACAGCGAATAACTGGCGACCATTAAAGCAAGAATGGCAAAATACCGAAAGTAAAATTGCATAGGAAAAAAAAAAACGACGTATATGTATTTAAAACACTGGGACTGATCTGCGACGACATGTAAATAATCTGCAATGTCAGTGAACTCATCGACTACACCATAGACTACATAGTTAACACGAAGCAGACGAAGATCATTTTTCACCCTATAGGAATACGGCGAGGGTTGCGGGCTCTATTTTTGGGGTGGGGGTTATACGAACTACCCCCTAACAGACAGGTCGTAATAGGTGATTAATTAGGATATTATCTTCGAAATATGAGTGTATCTGCATAATAGACCACAAACCAAAAGCAGGCATACAAATAAGCCTGAACTGTCAAAGGGTATGTGCAAACAAAACTTAGGTTCTGGATTAAGACCAAAGTCTGGAAGTGGATGAACAACCAGAACTTTCAGCAGGAGTTTACAGCCGGTGAACACTAGGAAGAAGGCAAAGAATGAAGATTAACATGTGTAAATACAATACTCACCTCGTCAATACAACTGGGCTGACAGTAGCCCCCTGTGTCAGGAAGCTGCTCTCCAGAGGGGGGATTATATGGTTTGGTTCTGGCGACACCCCGACCTCCACAACTTGAGCATCGTATTTCCTTAAGTCAGTGGTCAAGTACAGACGCAGACCTGAGCTGTCGACAAAATCTGGAAATGACAAAGCGACTGTCAGAATCGGTAGCTTGCCGGCTTAATGGTGAATACTCGATCTCTAATACTGACAGGCGTTGCTGTTCAGTCCAATGGTAAATACTCGATCTCTAATACTGGCAGGCGCTGCTGTTCAGTCCAATGGTAAATACTCGATCTCTAATACTGACAGGCGTTGCTGTTCAGTCCAATGGTAAATACTCGATCTCTAATACTGACAGGCGTTGCTGTTCAGTCCAATGGTAAATACTCGATCTCTAATACTGGCAGGCGTTGCTGCCCAGTTTAATGGTAAATACTCGATCTCTAATACTGGCAGGCGTTGCTGTTCAGTCCAATGGTAAATACTCGATCTCTAATACTGGCAGGCGTTGCTGTTCAGTCCAATGGTAAATACTCGATCTCTTATACTGGCAGGTGTTGCTGTCCAGTTTAATGGTAAATACTCGATCTCTAATACTGGCAGGCGTTGCTGTCCAGTTCAATAGTAAATACTCGATCTCTAATACTGGCAGGCGTTGCTGTTCAGTCCAATGGTAAATACTCGATCTCTAATACTGGCAGACGCTGCTGTTCAGTCGAATGGTAAATACTCGATCTCTAATACTGACAGGCGTTGCTGTTCAGTCCAATGGTAAATACTCGATCTCTAATACTGTAAAATGGTAAATACTCGATCTCTAATACTGGCAGGCGTTGCTGCCCAGTTTAATGGTTAATACTCGATCTCTAATACTGGCAGGCGTTGCTGTTCAGTCCAATGGTAAATACTCGATCTCTAATACTGGCAGGCGTTGCTTTTAATGTAAATATTCAGGCAGGCGTTGCTGTTCAGTCCAATGGTAAATACTCGATCTCTTATACTGGCAGGTGTTGCTGTCCAGTTTAATGGTAAATACTCGTTCTTTAATACTGGCAGGCGTTGCTGTCCAGTTCAATAGTAAATACTCGATCTCTAATACTGGCAGGCGTTGCTGCCCAGTTTAATGGTAAATACTCGATCTCTAATACTGGCAGGCGTTGCTGTTCAGTCCAATGGTAAATACTCGATCTCTTATACTGGCAGGTGTTGCTGTCTAGTTTAATGGTATATACTCGATCTCTAATACTGGCAGGCGTTGCTGTCCAGTTCAATAGTAAATACTCGATCTCAAATACTGGCAGGCGTTGCTGTTCAGTTCAATAGTAAATGCTCGATCTCTAATACTGAGAGGCTTTGCTGTCCAGTTCAATGGTATATACAGCATTATTTTGGCTGTTGCGGTTTTTTTAAGGCAAATTTACATTCAGTAGTTTGCCATTGTCTCTAAACGGTAGGCTGTCGATACCACTGACGAAACCCACGCAAGGCGGTGTGCTAACTGCGGATAGGATAGAACCCGGCACCCCAGCATTACGAAACACCTTAGCCACAGGCGCCGACATTGCTTCTCATAATATTATCATCATAATCATCAAGTTTTCTGCCAGCTGAAGTAGACGCTCATTCATCTCCACAAATCGCTCGGTCTTTCTTGTTCTGGATCAATTCCACTGATGATATTCCTCCATGCCACTGTCTTACACCATTCACCATCATCTATGGTCTGCCTCTGCTTCTTCTATCCACTGATTGTTCAAGTTGTCACGATATTTTCCAGTGCTCCTTTTCTCATCACATGACCAAAGAACTTTTGTCTTTTTCTCATTGTTCTTCTCACAATATGCCTATTAATTTTGTCTCTTTTTTTGGCAAGTCAAGTGGAAGAAATGCTGGCTAAAGCTTTCCAGCAGCTAGGCCATGGCGATCGATAATTCAAAGTTTCACGAATTCCCCAAAATAAAATAAATTCGTCACAGCCGGCATTCGAAACATTCGTGTATTAGACACCAGCTTGAAGAAGGACGTAATTTTTTAATACTTTTAATAACAATTCTAAGACAAATGTGCAGAAAAGACAGCCAGAAAGGATACTACAAGTGGACGAATAAATCAAGCGATGAGTGATATGTATTCTACATATGTTTACGATTTCACAGACAAACTATCAACAATACAAATGCACGAAAGCCAAGCATGACAGTGTGTGAAAATTCCCAGGTGCTTTATTTATATCCTACCCCAAATAGGGAAAATCCGCAGGTCATGGGACAGTCTAATATTTCAGGGGGTGGTAAATAGGCTGCCCGCAGTCGTCGGACCTAGGCTGCACTCTTTCGTCTGACGTAGGTTGGTTCGGGTTAGAGCCAGTTCTAGATGTTGTGGGGTCGTTAAAGGCATTATAAAGCCGTGAAACCTAGTCTTAACACCCTCTGTGTCCTTAACACAGGACTGTCCTGTGACAGCATCTGGGGTAAGATAATAATAAAGAACCGATTCATCGTCTGACGAATGTGTAAAGCATTGAGCTTTAGAATGACACAATATCAGCCATATTAAATATCGGACAAATATCTGGGCGTGATAGCTTACCAGTTCTCATGTCGGGGTTGTTGTAATGTGTCTCCAGTCTGAAGTAGACCGGATCCTGGGGTGTCCCTAGAGACTGACCCACGTGTGGAGGAAAGTCGTATGCCTGACAACCAAAATGTTATTGCTGGATGTACACATTGTTTCTATCTATCTATCTATCTATCTATCTATCTATCTATCTATCTATCTATCTATCTATCTATCTATCTATCTATCTATCTATCTATCTATCTATCTATCTATCTATCTATCTATCTATCTATCTATCTATCTATCTATCTATCTATCTATCTATCTATCTATCTATCTATCTATCTATCTATCTATCTATCTATCTATCTATCTATCTATCTATCTATCTATCTATCTATCTATCTATCTATCTATCTATCTATCTATCTATCTATCTATCTATCTATCTATCTATCTATCTATCTATCTATCTATCTATCTATCTATCTATCTATCTATCTATCTATCTATCTATCTATCTATCTATATATCTATCTATCTATCTATCTATCTATCTATCTATCTATCTATCTATCTATCTATCTATCTATCTATCTATCTATCTATCTATCTATCTATCTATCTATCTATCTATCTATCTATCTATCTATCTATCTATCTATCTATCTATCTATCTATCTATCTATCTATCTATCTATCTATCTGCCTGCCTGCCTGCCTGCCTGCCTGCCTGCCTGCCTGCCTGTCTGCCTGCCTGCCTGCCTGCCTGCCTGTCTGTCTGTCTGTCTGTCTGTCTGTCTGTCTGTCTGTCTGTCTGTCTGTCTGTCTGTCTGTCTGTCTGTCTGTCTGTCTGTCTGTCTGTCTGTCTGTCTGTCTGTCTGTCTGTCTGTCTGTCTGTCTGTCTGTCTGTCTGTCTGTCTGTCTGTCTGTCTGTCTAAATATTCAATGAACTAATTAATGAAGGAAGTCAAAGTGTCTACAATCAGCATACCGTGCCTCCGATAGCCCAGGCGAGCATGGTGTCCTCACAGATGTCATTAACACCTGCAGGTTTGGAGTGAGTCTCAAAGGAAGCTCCCACCAGACTGTCGTCCAAGGGTCGGGAGCAGCTGTACAACAATATGTGGTGGACCAACAGTTCATGGCCTTTCTGCACAACTGGCTCAAACTGTGGGGGAAATGTTGTCTAGAACTAACGGTTGTAAAATTTCTTTCTTTCTTTCTTTCTTTCTTTTTCTCTTTCTTTCTTTCTTTCTTTCTTTCTTTCTTTCTTTCTTTCTTTCTTTCTTTCTTTCTTTCTTTCTTTCTTTCTTTCTTTCTTTCTTTCTTTCTTTCTTTCTTTCTTTCTTTCTTTCTTTCTTTCTTTCTTTCTTTCTTTCTTTCTTTCTTTCTTTCTTTCTTTCTTTCTTTATTTCTTTATTTATTTATTTATTAATTATTTTGTTCTTTGTTATTTATTTTCTTCCTATCATTACCTATAAGTAAAATCACTAATACTTGATGTGAGACAAGCTCAGTCATCAGAATAGAGCAAAATTATTGTTCTTGTTCTTGTTCTTCTTCTTGTTCTTGTTCTTCTTCTTGTTCTTGTTCTTCTTCTTGTTCTTCTTCTTCTTCTCCTTCTTCTTCTTCTTCTTCTTCTTCTTCTTCTTCTTCTTCTTCTTCTTCTTCTTCTTCTTCTTCTTCTTCTTCTTCTTCTTCTGCTGCTTTTTCTTTTTCTGCTTCTTCTTCTTCTTCTTCTTCTTCCTCTTCTTCTTCTTCTTCTTTTTCTTCTTCTTCTTCTTCTTCTTCTTCTTCTTCTTCTTCTTCTTCTTCTTCTTCTTCTTCTTCTTCTTCTTCTTCTTCTTCTTCTTCTTCTTCTTCTTCTTCTTTTTTTCTTCTTCTTCTCCTTCTTCTTCTTCTTTTTCTTCTTCTTCTTTGTACGCAGATTGTTAGTTCCTTGCCTCTCAGGCAGATGCACTCCAACATCAAAGAAAGCCCCTAGTTAATCAGCTCTTACGACATGCTTGGTGGGGAGGCAGTGGGTCTGTTCGTGTTTTCCCCCTACAATGGGGCCCTGGCACCCACACGGGGTACTGGTGTATTTCCGATATTAATTTTAAAAATATATATAATAACGTGTGACCTTCGTTATATATTCATGTGAAGTTTATGGAAACAAACCTGACAAGAATCAACGAAATATGCCAGTAATGATGAAGTCACACTGGCATTTGATGAATGGTGGGGCTTTGAGCTATATAAAGCCCTGAGGCCCCTGCTGTTTTAAATTACGATAGCTAATCATAGAAAAACTTTAAAGAGTATGTGCTTTTTAATTATATGGAGGAGGTAAATATAATGTCTTTAAATTGTTTGTAAAAGAAACAATAAATAACGTGTCTGCAAAATCATAGACATTATATTCTGTAATCCTGTTAAAAGAAAATCGCAATTATGAACAAAATTAAAAGGTATTTGTTGAGGACTTTCTTATATATATCTTCTTTTACTTTATCAGTGCCAAACATGGACAATGAATAGGGAGCTGGAATAGAAAATAACTACATGTGAAATGTGCTGTCTTCGCAAGGTCATTAACAACACAAAAAAGAGGGTTACGAATACCAGCATTAGAGAGAGAGAGAGAGAGAGAGAGAGAGAGAGAGAGAGAGAGAGAGAGAGAGAGAGAGAGAGAGAGAGAGTTCGAATAAGACCATGCGTAGATTAAATTCACTGACAAAGAATGAAATGGTTCAGCCATCTAGTGAGAATTCAGCCAGACCAAACTGCATATGAGACCTTATACAGCATAACATCTGGCAGGAAGGCGAGAGGAAGACCAAGAAAGACGTGGATTTTCTTTTTTAAATATCCAGAAACCGTGAGTTGTTAACCCTTTGGCTCGGTACTAGAGATATAACAACCATTTGGCCTTGATTCCATGACAAATGCCGTAAATCTGGGAGAAATGTGGCTTTTCTGCCTACCCCCGGGCGTGAACCCGCACCACAAGGAGTTCATCAACTGGTCGCCGCTCAGTCAGCTTTAACCACCTGATCTAGCGTGCCGGGCAAAGAGATTGATAAATGATGTAGCTGAAGCCTGCAAAAAGATGAAAAAAAATCCATCAACCCAGCCACCCGAGAAGCGCAAGACAAATACAGAAACCACGACAGTAGGCTACAACCTAGCATCAGCGAGACGAAAAAAAAAGATGAAGATGAGGACCTTCTCCAAATTGTGTACCGCTGAGTTAGCTTATGCCTAAACCCATCTCTGCCTATATCCCCAAAGTCATTTCAAAATTTCATTTACATTATAAGTTTGTCAACTGAAGAGGCAGATACATTGCCAAGGAATAACACTACAGGGTCTTCTTCGACTTACCCCGGTGTTCCGACGACCAAGAGGTCATCAGTCAAACTGGTTGTATGTTGTATTTGTTCTTTTCAACACTATTTTCACCCCCCCCCCCCTTTCCAACCTTTTTTTTTTTTTTATTTATCCTTTACAGGACGTTGCAAAACTAACCCCAGCATTTTATTTACTTTTGTGGGTTTTTCCGGGCAAATTTTGCTCCAAAACGGCCAGCTCTCGGTACTGTCGAAATCAACGCAAGACAAAACGTCCGCAGCTGGGATCGAACCCGGAACTCCGGGATTTTATCAAGCGCGTTCGCAAAACTCAAGCCATAAAATCCGACATTTTCATCCTAACAGGTTGTAAAAAAAAAAAAAATACATAAAACAAAACAAAACATACACAAATTTAATCTATTGACGAATAATTATTGTTAATAATGTTAAAAATACATAATATGTACTCTGTTTTACGAACGTTTTGACCCTAACAATGTCCAACCGTCCAGAAAGCAATGGTAAGCTACTGAAAGTAAATTTGCCTAGAAAAACCACAACAGCCGAAAAAATTCTGGGATTGGTTCTGCAATGTCCTGTAAAGGATACGCAACTAACTAACTAATATAGTCATCTTCTTTCTTGAGTATTTTTATTTCATTTATTTATTGTGGTCGTAAGCGCGGATGGTCGTAAGTCTCATGTGTAGTGAGTTGAGGAGAGGGTGCATCCAAAAACTAACAGTTTTCAGTTATATTTCGTTAGCATAGCAGCCTCATGCGCCCCCACTCTGTGTTTTTCTTTTAACAAACATTCATTAACTGGTGCCTGCGTAAATAAAAGTAAACAAGTAAAGATCATTTTTCACGCCTTAAGGCTCATAGCATATATGGGAAGAGCACCCATATTTTTACAGACCATCGGCACTATTGGGTATTGTGGTCAGCATTACGCCGGCCGTCTTTACTTCCCCAGGACATACATCATGGTACTCATTTTTGGCTGGGTCGACCTGCGACGCCCCATACCATGATAAAAATCCAGAGGTGCCTGCGCAGAATAGATGGAATGAAATGGTATGTTAGAATTACTAATATAGAGCTTCGAGAGAGAACTAAATAGGTTCAAATGGACCAAGAGATGAAGAAAAGACGCTGACTTTGAATAGGACACGTTGAGAAAACCTAAGAACAAGATAACTAGAATGTCTTTGCACTAGAACCGACAGGGGTATAGAAGTAAAGGAAAACAAAAACAACATGGAGAATAGAGCTAAAGAGTGAAGTTAAAACGATGGGGTTGACATGAGGACGGACGCATGCGATAACGAACGGTGGAGCGATCTGGCGTGAGTTGGTTGAGAGCTTATGCTCCATTGGGTGTTAGAAACGCAGAAGAAGAAGAAGAAGAAGAAGAAGAAGAAGAAGAAGAAGAAGAAGAAGAAGAAGAAGAAGAAGAAGAAGAAGAAGAAGAAGAAGAAGAAGAAGAAGATGTGAACTGCCAGACAGCACAATATTTAACTATATTAACATACACATGTACAGTAGTTTTAAGCTGTAATCACTTACTCTGATCACGTGATGCTTCTGTCCCAGGTCAGGCAGCTTGAAAATGTAGTCGTGGTACGTGGTGCTGTTGCCAGGCACGCTGTACTGGATTACACAAGAGAACAATCAAAGGCATGACCATGTTTTCTGGTCAAACCAGGCATCGTATAGTGAGCAGTCAACAACGAACGGACACTTTTCATTGAATTTCCGTACAGACATAAAGATGGTAGCGCCACACTTAGAGAAAATTGTCACTGCTTTGAATAAAACAGCAGTTGATCGTTGTGCAAGATTTCTTTGGTGAGTCTTAAGATGGGCGTAAGGAAAATGGGAATCGCGGCCAGTTAAGAGACTGACAAGTCAATTTATTTTAAATCCGCAAATCCCACTCATCATTTCCTCCCCATCATAATCATCTTGTTTTCTTCTTCTTCTTCTTCTTCTTCTTCTTCTTCTTCTTCTTCTTCTTCTTCTTCTTCTTCTTCTTCTTCTTCTTCTTCTTCTTCTTCTTCTTCTTCTTCTTCTTCTTCTTCTCCTTCTTCTTCTTATTCTTCTTCTTCTTCTTCTTCTTCTTCTTCTTCTTCTTCTTCTTCTTCTTCTTCTTCTTCTTCTTCTTCTTCTTCTTCTTCTTCTTCTTCTTCTTCTTGCTTCTCCTTCTTCTCCGGCGTCTTGTTATTGTTATTATTATTCGCTTTCTTCTCTCCCACTACCTCCTCATTATTACTCTACGCTTGTTCCTCTTCCCTTGTATCCTCCTCCATTACCACTTCTTCTCTTCCTCACTTCTTCTTCCTCTATTCAAAATTATAATATTTTCTTCTAGTTTTCAGTATGTTGTTGTTCACGGCGTCCGTGGCTAAGGCGTTGCGAGTCCGACTCGTAATTCCAACGCAAGACGATCGAAACCCACTGCGGGCTGCGTGGATGTTTATCATGGTATGGGACGTCGCAAGTAGACCCAGCCTCAAATGGATACCAGGATGGCTGTTCTGGGGAAGTAAAGACTGTCGGCGTAATGCTGACCACATTACCCACCTAGTGCCGATTGTCCTGTAAAAATATGGGTGCTCTTCCATATGCCCGATGCACCTGGAGGCGTGAAAATGGATCTTTACTTTACTTTACTTATGTTGCTGTTCTCCTGCTACTACCTCTCCGTCTTCTCGTGTTAATTCTTCTTCTTTCCAGCTTGAAATATGGCAATTTTATAGGTTCTTTTTTATAGTAACTGTGTTGTTTCAAGATTGACCCATGTGTATGTGTTAAATAAGAGTGTTAAAACTTTAAAAAAAAAGATGAGCACGATGATGATGATAGTGACGGCGGCAACGACTGTAATGATAACTAATGTAAACATGTAAAGAGCAGCAGCAATTGCAACGACAACAACAACAAATTGTACTCCACAACAAGGACTCTACTTGAAAGTTCAGGTCTCACATTTTTGCTAAGAAAGTCAATAGTTATCACATTCTCCCATTTTGTCTCCACACTCTTCTCGCTGTTCGGGGGATCAAGAAGTAGCAGGGACTTTGTTCCCCTGTTTGAAGAACCGTGATAGGGGATGACTGCGTCAGAGACTGGGTCATCTGTGGAGTAGCTGTAGATGACACGCGTGGTACCTTTCTGTTGAAGAGAAAAAAAAAATAATTTTAGACAGACACTGGCGTTGTTTGGGTAAATGGAGATCTAGCCATTCATGTTGCGCAAGAGCACGGGTCTGATGCGTGTCATCGTATGGGCTTATTAGCCTGGCAGAGACATACACTAAGAAAACAGTGAGGTGAGGGGGGAGGGTTAAAAAAGGAGGGGGTGGGGGACGCGCTGAGTGGCTTCGGTACTCATCAGCTCCTTACAGATTTTCTAGCGGGGAAAAGAGGGAGGGGCGGGGGTGTCTCATGGGGCCTAAGTCGTGTTTGATTTAGTAATAATTAAATTAAAGTTAGAGAATGAGAAGTTGTTATTTTACTAGTAGTAGTAGTCGCAGCAACAGCAGTAGTGGTGGTGGTGGTGGTGGTAGTAGTAGTAGTAGTAGTAGTAGTAGTAGTAGTAGTAGTAGTAGTAGTAGTAGTAGTAGTAGTAGTAGTAGTAGTAGTAGTAGTAGTAGTAGTAGTAGTAGAAGAAGTAGTAGTAGTAGTAGTGGTAGTAGTAGTAGTAGTAGTAGTAGTAGTAGTAGTAGTAGTAGTAGTAGTAGTAGTAGTAGTAGTAGTAGTAGTAGTGGTAGTGGTAGTAGCAGCAGCAGTAGTAGCAGCAGCAGCAGCAGCAGCAGTAGTAGTAGCAGTACTAGTAGTAGTAATAAAAATACAGTGGTAGTAGTAGTAACGGTAGTAGTAGTAATTACAGTAGTAGTAGTAATGTCAGTGTCTCTGGCTTAAGCCTTGTGAACTCGCTTCGTAATGCAGGGGTGCCGGGTTCGATCCCAGCTGCGATTTGGCAGCACTTCTTGCGCTGTTTTCGACAGTGGTACCTAGTAGTGCTAGTAGTAATAGTAGTAGTAGCAGCAGCAGCAGCAGCAGCAGCAGCAGCAGTAGTAGTAGTAGTAGTAGTAGGTGTAGTAGGAGAGCAACTATGACGACAGCAGCATCTGTAATAACAATAGCAAGAATAGTAATGCTAAGTTACAGGCCTTATCAATACAATTTTAACAGTGTAGCCACCACTATTGTACAAACGTGTAGCTCTGAACTTTTGAAAAACAAAGAAAACAACAACAAATTATTTGCTTACAAGTATAGCTCTGTCCTGGCCATCGCAAGTGTCCAGTTTTCTGACCATCTTCAAGACTGTGTAATCTCCAGTCTCGGCAGCATTGAGCAGAAACCAGTCCTGACTGGCATCTACGCCTGGCACTGTATTCCCGCTGGCATAGCGATCCTGGCCAAAGGAAATACAATTTATAACATAAGGTAATTATTGTTTTCTTTTAATTTTGCTTTACCCGATCCTCTCTGGGATTACAGCCTAAAAATCACACCCCTAGTGACTCACAGAGCACTTTTAAAAAATACTTATCCTGCTGAAATTTGGGGAAACCTAAGAGAGCTGACATTACAGTTTATGGTCCACTGTGGATTAAGCGCATGACCAGAAATTGCTGAAGAAGGAGAGAATGTTAATCAAAAAGGAAAAAATCCCGAACACTATTCAACCGTTTGATACAGCTTAACATGGCAATTCTATGGGAGCGAAGTAATCTGTTTTTCTGTGAGGGTTGGATTCAACTGGTGTATTTAGGGCTCCCGCCCCCTCCCCTCCACACTTATAAGAAAGGTGTCGGTACTTAAAGTGCTAAAAAAGGAAATGTTTAATTCAGTATCGCTGAAAGAATAATACATAAAGAAGGTGCCTGTACAGCTGCAAACCGCCAGGAAAAAAAAAAAGCCCAGGGTATATCTTTCTTACGTTTGTTGTTGGCACTTTTCGTCTTTCCAGATGATAGTGATATATTGTGCTTTGGGGCTACATGGAAATCACAGCCCATCCATAGAGCAAAGCCTAGGCAAGTTTGTTAAACACAATGAGTCGCCCATGCATCGTGATCCCTCTCTCGGTCAGCTTTGTTCGTTCCTAATTTAAACGATACAATCACCTACAGTTTGCAAAAGACTTATTTTTCACCTCGCAGCTTCGACTTCAAGTCGAAATTCAGCTGCATTCAAAAGGACGAATTCCAGTTACCAATTTCAACCTGCTAGGAAGATATAATTAGGTCACTCGTGATGACTACAAAAAAGCTTCCGACTATTTTAACTTCCTGCGCCCTTTTTTAAAGAATTTCTTTGGAGGTGCCCTTTTGGTTTACCGTACTAGAACATTTAGTTCCATGAAGAGCATGTGACACAAAGTTTATGGTAGGCCGGCTCACATTCGTTGTCTTTTTAAAGCTAGTGGCAAGAGATCCTTCTTTTGGTTTCTTAGTCTTTAATTGCATTCACCCCCACCCCCCCCCTTTCCACCCCACCCTCTTCCTTTCCGCCACGAGAAACCCTTAGTGGTCAGTATAAACATGTAGGAAATGTGAATAGTGAGACGGGTATGGGGAACATTATTGTAAATTCCTATCTGTGCATAGTTCAGCATAAAGTCCCTGTGTTTATGATGTCCCCAGACTATATCCCCCTGTATAAGCTCAAGCGCTACGACGACCCTCTCTTGAAAACTGTAATGCCGAACGGTTATTTCCGCCATATCTAGGACTGTTGTCCTAAGCCCATGTTTTCAGTATATCTGCAACAATGTTAGCATGTCCTGGCGTTATTGGCATCGGCACCATAATCAGCCTCAGTAAGGAATTCCAAATCCTTAAGAAAAAAAGAAATAAATTAAAAGTTCTACCACTTTCAGACTGCTGCTAGCTAGCCGAGGCTGCTTACAGTCTCTGTCTATATTTATGGTCTCTGTTATTTGCGTCAATTTCGTGACTAGAGTTTTAGCATTTGCGCCGTCTCTGGGCTTGATGCTTCCTTCCTTCGAGTGAGACCACTCGTTCTTTGCCCAGTTGTTAGCTGTGTACCTCTTGCCTTTTCCTTCAAGGTGTTTCCTCCTTGGTTTAGTCTCTATATGTTTTGGCCAGGCGTATTTCGTAGAAGAGCGAGCTTCTATGCATAACGTCCTTTTATGTATAACGTCCTTTGGACCACCACTTATAGTTTTAAAATTTTGAGTATTTTACTTTGCCAAAAAGTACTGAAAACAGTTTTTGGTTTTGGATAGATCCGAATTGTGATAGTATTTCGCGTGTGACCATTGTGGTCTTATAGTTGTCTTCCTGCAGTGAGAACAAGTTAGTCATGTCGTGGATATGTGTGTGAAGTGTTAGTTGGAGCCTCACAGTTATTCTATTCGTCATTTGGGCTATCCTCCGACTAACGGTCGGCAAAGATGGCGGCCGCAAAATATCCTTTCGAGCCACAGTCGCGTGTCAGTTGCGCACTAGCGGTAACGAGCACACCGCGGCTGCTGCTCGTGGGTCCTAGCCATCTAGTTTAGCCCCACACCTGTGTGGGTTCCGGGGGCCCATTGTGGGGAAAACAATAATAAACCCACTGCCTCCCCAAAAGCATGTCGTAAGAGTCGACTAATTGGGGAGCTTTCTTTGAAGTCGGGGTGCATCTGCCGGAGAGGCAAGGAACCAACAGTCTGTATTCAAGAGAATGAGATCTGTAAAACTGATGCACACGCAACACTCAGGTTCTGGAGCAGGACTGCAGTTCAGTAGTGGACGAGCAACCAGAACTTTCCGCCAGAGTGTACAGCTGGTGAACGCGAAGAAGAAGAAGAAGAAGTTTAGCCCCCATTCCATGCCGCGTGAGTGGCGTGGGAGACAGGCGATAGTCACCGGAAAACCGCAGGAGACCCGCAAATTAAGTCACGCGACTGTGGCTCGAAAGAATATTTTGCGGCCGCCATCTTTGCCGACCCACGGCCATCTTTAGAAAGATACAGCTGGACGTGGCCGACTGTTAGTCGTTAGCCGTCATTTGTTATAATGTGATCCGGTTGTGTCTGTTTGGGTTTGTAGCTAGGCTCCGGTGTACGTAAATATCAGTATAGAAAAATGACCTACCTTAAAATATGCTTGTTGATCTTTGACCCAACCAATCACAATGTCGGAACCAGCCATGCCTCCATTTGGGGAAATTCCGAACCCTACGTAGCCTTGAATGAGATTTAGAATAAATTGTTAGACATTAATTCATTCGTTGTGTTTTATTTTGATATCTTTCAACGTAAAGAATAATGAAAGTTTGAAAAAATTTGAGACTGTAGATTTGTGTTTTGTTTTACTAATACCAACTAGAAGGAGGGAAAACAGTGAGAGAATCTGATAAACAAGGAGGAGGAAGAGGTGTAGAGTGAGGATGAGTAATAATAATATAATAATAATAGGACGAAGAAAAGAAGGGAAAAGAAGAAATAGAAACAGAAGGATCATGTTGACAATAAGAATGACGATGATAAGAAAAAGAAGAAGATGATGATGTTGACGACTACGATCGTACTGATGGTGGTGATTATGATGACAATGGCAACACACTTTTCATGTCCCTGGAGTCATATTAGCCTAATATTTTAGCGCATACTTGTATAGATCAGTCTCCACGTGGTGGATAGTCTAGTATCATTGTTAGACTTTCTGTGTGTGTATGTATATATATATATATATATATATATATATATATATATATATATATATATATATATATATATATAGAGAGAGAGAGAGAGAGAGAGTGAGAGACAAAGCGGAGGGAGAAAGATGAAGAAAAAAAAAGGATGAGGAGGGTAAAAGATAATTTTGGGGGGGGGGGGTGATGTCATGAGAAGGAGAAATCTGAAACACATTGTTACCATTGCCAAGATCTGTGGGAAACAAAGAGACAGGGGAAGACAAGGCGAGAGGATTCTTGACAGCATTCTGTCATGGCATGGAGTGGTATCAACACACGAACTGATACATGCAGTTGAAAACCAGAGTCCAGGAGCGGATAAACATCCAGAATTTCCCGCCTGACTTTACAGCCGGTAGAGGCAAAGAAGTAGAAACATTAAACATGTACACATCCCCAGGAACGCCCTTCAGTCGTACAGCACAAGTATATCGCAGTACCCCACGGTTACCAAGGAACCTGTAGTTCAATGTAAGCAGAAAGCAGAAAGTTGATCAAAATCAAATGGCAAGATAAGATCCCAAATACTTTGGTTCTTGATAGGGCAAACTTGCCTAGCATTCACACGATACTGAAAAAATATCAGCTTACTTAGGGCTGGTCACCTAACCCGCATGCCATTCTATCGCCTCCTAAAGAGAGTATTTTATGGGGAGTTTAAACAAAGGAAGACATCCCAGGAAGGACAGAAAGAGCGTATAAGGACACTCTCAAGACTGCTTTTAATTCTGTTGGCTGCTGCACAAGACCGTTCTGGGTGGCGTACATCTCTCAGACATGGCGCATCAGCCTGCCAGGAAGAGGAGGTTGCGCAGGCAGAGAGACGGAAGCAGACTAGAAAGAATCGAACTGCTAATCCCACACTTACTGCGGCTTCCACCTGTTGTCCGCACTGCTCAAGATATGTTCAGGCTCACATTGGACTAATCAGTCAATTGCGTACTCATAACCATTGATCATTACTACTTTTGATGAAAGCGGTCTTCATTATTCGTGATGGACCAACAATAGTCCATTATAGGTGATTAGCTGGCCGCTTATATTCCGGCCTCCCGTAATTTAATAATAATCTTATCCAGTTTCGTCCTTTTAAGGACAAAAGTTTGTGTTACTTGAAGCTCCACCCTGGCTTTTGCCAGGGGCCGCAATGTAGGCAGGCCATAAATATGGCCAATTGTCTGAACGCGGTTTCTGGGACCTCTCCACGGCGATCCTCATCCACATTGTGGCACTTTGTGTCATCGGGTGTTTATCGCTTGTGTGATGTCCTAGTGGGGTAGAAAGTCAGTCAGTCAGTCAATTTAATAATGCATCTCCAAATGAGTCACAAAAGAGAAGTAGACATCGACCGTATCACAGGATACAAATATTGCCGTACAGAGATAAGCCAACAGACATCCAACGTTGTTAATTAATAACGGATAACAGAACTCGTGTTCAACAAAGAGATATGGGCATGGAAACATTCGGAGTTTGAAATATAGGAAAGTAGACTAGAGTATTCAAGATTGTAAGCTAACGGGTTGAGGGAAACGTTGGAGAGTTCGTTTTTCACCCTCCTTTTGGGGCTGGCGTTTTAGAATTCTACTTCTTCGCGCTATTTTGTTTACCTACTGCAGTGTCGTCTCTGCTTTGACTATCCTTCTTATTATCTGAGTGGTTGTTCCAGTTTGTAGTTACTGAACCTAGATAGCAGAATGTCTCTTCGTCACCTAAGGTTATCTCTATGTTAAAGTTATAGCTAATACGCTTTTTACATACGTGAGGTCACAAGGGTATTTGTTCATTCATTCGTTGACATCATGTGCCAATATATGTCATTTTGAAGATTAGGACTTGGATACTGGAAAACCAAAATTTACAGCACCCTTATGGTTAGATTGCTTTCAAGAAAACACAGTAGACCGCTTCCTGTCAACATGTCCCCTAAACATATATGAAAGAAAAACACTGGAAGGCTATTTTCAAAAACTAAATAAATCAAAAACATTCAAGGAATGCTTATATGTTGATAGTAATGAAAACATACAGAAATCAAATTTGCAGGACACGTAAAAATATGTCTCTACAGATAAAGATATGATAAGACATAGGCGACAAGGTAGGAAAAAAAGAATTGAAGAAATAAGAGAGAAGAAATTAAATAGTGTTTGAACAACCTAAACTGGCCAAGGCTGCCTTGAGAAAGTGTCACACAGATAAACCAAAGAGCCAAACTAATAATTAAGGCGCAAACAGTAGGAAATTAGCAAAACTATAGGGTACATTAAATACAACACTCATCATCTTCATGTTGCAGGTCCTTTGCAGAACGTCGCTCTCATCACAGTCTGCCTTAAAGAAACTCGGTCTCTCGCCAGTTCTTCCGCCTCATGTACTTTCATACTCAAGGAGTCACTTATATCCTGTGCCCATCTTCGTGTCGGTCTGTCCCCTTCTTCCTGGTACCATGCCTTCTGCTATAATTTTTTTCCAATCCGTCGTGGCGCTTGATATGACCAAAATATTTCAGCTTCCGATACAGGATGCTGTTTATTAGCCAATCTTCCTTGATGTTCAGATCCTTCAAGATGTCAGTACTTCTCCTCTTCTTTGTAGACAACACTAGTACGGGGTCGACCTGGGAGCTAGGGTCATTTTTAAGGGGATAAAATAGTCGGGATATGAGCCCATGGCATTGTGATCTGCAGTCTAGCGTGGGCGTGCACACACGCGCTTGTGTACATATGTGTGTAACTGTACACTTATGTCTTTATATATGTGTGTGGGTAAATAGTTTTTTGTGTGGCTTTTGTGGTTTGTTTTCTAGGCAAATGTCACGTTCAGTAGTTTGCCATTGCTTACTCCACGATCAGCTCTCGGTGCCACTGTCGAAACCAACGTAAGACAAAATCGTCCGTAGCTGGGATCGAGCCCGGTACCCTAGCATTACGAAGCGCGTTCGCAACGCCTAAGCCACAGACTCCAACGTGTGGGAATATATATAATGTATACCAGCCCCCCTCCCCCACAACCATCATCAGGTACTAGAGTACCGGTCCAAGCCACTGATTTTGGGTGCAATTAACACTTCTCAGCCAACATACTTGGCACATGGAAACCAGACCACAGTTATAGCCGATACTGATCGCAGTAGGTTGAACATAGTTAATTTTTTTTAAATTTTATTTTCAAAGATGGATGGATGGATAGTGTCTGTCTGGTGATTCTCTGTCATTTCTTCCCAGAATGTGTCCATCGTCTCTGTCTTATAATTGTGAAAACCAGCGGTTTCCCATACAGTTCTCTTATTTCTTCACGCCTCTTGAATTCATCCTATTTTATGAGTGGGTACCAATTGGGATCCTGGGAAGCCAAGGCAGGAGGTGTAATGTTGATCCCACCACTCACAAAGCGCCGATTGGTCTATAAAATACAGATTTAGCCCTAAATGCTTAAAACGCATGAAGTAGTGGAACGGGGTTCTTCACTTTACATGGCACGGTGGCCTGGAACAAAAATGGCGTGGAGGGGACACCGTTTCTGTGAAAAGATTCAGGAGGTCGACAACCGTCACCGTGGATACAAGTCGCTGACGACTCACTGGCTATGAAAGCACATAGGGCTAGATAAGTTGGCTACTGACAGAAAGACTTTCAAGGGTGCCGTGAGGAAAGAGACGTTCTGTAATGGACAGGCTGACTGATAATGATGAATGGTACACAGACGGAGACTTTCACTGGTGTGGTGGTGGTGAGGGGGATAACGTAAGCGTGCTATAGCTTGAACATGTAAAGAAGGAGGGGGAGAGATGAAGAGGGGCAGGGAGAGGGTGTGTACTCCATGTTTGTATTGTAATCTGGGCATGTAGAATGGGAAAACTTGATCCCTACATTGTACTTTGACCACGCATAAAGAGATAGACATATAAAAGAGAACAGAATACAGAGACTGGGGTACAAAGATTGGAGTACTGGCGGCTAGACAGACAGACAGACAGACAGACAGACAGGCAGGCAGACATGTTGTTAGGTAGATAAGACAGACATGTTGTTAGGTAGATAAGACAGACAGACAAACGGACAGACAGACAGACAGACAGACAGACAGACAGACAGACAGACAGACAGACAGACAGACAGACAGACAGACAGACAGACAGACAGACAGACAGACAGACAGACAGACAGACAGACAGACAGACAGACAGACAGACAGACAGACAGACAGACAGACAGACAGACAGACAGACAGACAGACAGACAGACAGACAGACAGACAGACAGACAGACAGACAGACAGACAGACAGACAGACAGACAGACAGACAGACAGACACACAGACAGATATGTAGGTAGGTAAGAAGGCTCTAACCATTTGTCTTCACGATGGTCTCAAAGATAATGTGAGTATCGTTAAAGTTCCAGAACAACTCGTAATTGTCGTCAAGAACTTCATGGTAAGTGAAATTTTCACTCGGCTCTGGCTCTGAAACAAAAATGTTTTAGCAGACACATAATTAACTATCTTTTTGCATTATGCATAAATATGTTGCCTTAATTATTTTTCTATTTCAGTAAATTGTTCTTTAGGGTAAGAAGTTATCCAGCTGGAATTGTAAGTAAACTAAAAGTTAGCGACCCTTTTCCACTCTTTCAGACGTATTGGGTATATAGGGTTAAGCCTCTATTGTATAGACGAATCGGCACTTGATGGGTGATGTGGTAAGCATCACGTCGGTCGCCTTTACTTCGCAGGACTTTCCCAAGTACCCATTTAAGGCTGGGTCTATCTTGAAGCCAAGGTTATTTTTTAAAAAGGTCTGGCACCGTCAGAACCTGAACCGACGAAATTCAGATCTGCAGGCGAACATCTAGCCGCTACTCAACGGCAGCTCTCAAGTTGGTATTTGGCTGGAACACATTGATAAAGAAGGTAAGTAGGCTAGCAATCTTATATGTAAGCCATAGATAACCAGGTAGAGAGTTGGGCAGGCCAACAGCAAGGCATTTAGATAGGATTTGTCAGTCTCTTAGTCTTCGTCGATGTTTCAACTTCCCTGCAATAGGGTCACCCCATAGAAAATCAAATACAATTACCTAACTTTCCTATAAAAAAAAAAAAAAAAAACGAAAAAAAAAAAAAAAAAGAAAAAAAAAAAAAAAAAAAAACACTGGTGAACCAACAAAAAGTCCCAAAAGTATGCGAATGAAGTAAATTATGTTACTGTTGCTGGAGGTGCCAAAGCCAACAGTTGCCATCAGAAAATTTGTCGTTAATGGAAGTGGTCGGGCACGATAAGTTGGCTATACACACGTAGAATTATTACAGAAGGTATTTCACAAGCCCACAAGTAAATCGGCTACGGGCCATGTAAAATACAGTGACTTAACCGCTGCACAAATAAAAGACTTTCAATGTGGGGGGGGGGGGGGGGGGGAAGGCACACAGCTTACAGGGCTGCACCAAACACTAAACTCAGTAGCTCAGGTAGCGAAACCGTAGACTACCGTTCATATGTAGAAACAGCATTGGGAAAGCGCTGTCGGAAGCAAAAATTCCTTCGAAGCTTAACTTTCTGCCATGCCTAGTGCTCCATTTTAGACTGGAAGTCTAAGATTTGTCAGTGAGGCAGACGAGTATCTAGACAAGGACCAGTGGAGATGGTGGTAATAGATTGTCGAGTTGGGGGGGGGGGGGTATTCGTGGAGATATTTATGTCTTGATGTAAGCAAATATGCCTGAAGATAAGTAAGTATGTTATGTTAGCACAGTCGTCGCCCCTGCACATTGAGCATTCTCGTGTGAGCTCAATCTTCGCTTAACAAGTTGCTTGCAATATCTCTTTTCTTTAACTCGAAGACGGCACTGATATGCTTCACCTTCCTTTACTCCCAAGCCACGCAATCATGTTAGTATCCACGATTAGTCATTCTCCACCAAAGTTGTCTGTACAGCTTTCACGATGTCAGCTCTGCCCATGTTTTCCTCCTTATGCGATGGTGCATTAATTGCTAGTTGGTCCTCTCGTTCATTGCCTTTTACTCATTCGGAGGGTAAACTGCCTGTTGCAATGGTCTGAAGTATGTTCCCGGGGACTAGTACTGTTACTGCATGTGTGACTGCATCTACTTTTGCCCAAGCGAGTGCTCTGGGAGCGGCTGTTATCTCCCTTGTCATATCTAATGTAGTTCTCCGGTAAGAGGTCAGCGTCTGTGGCTTAGGCGTTGCGAATGCGCTTTGTAATGCCGGGATACTGGGTTCAATCCCAGCTGAGGGCCTTGCGCTGGTTTCGACAGTGGTATCGAGAACCCGACCGTCCAGAGGCAATGGCAAACTACTGGACGTAAATTTGACTAGAAAAACCACAACAGGCAAAAAATGCTGGGGTTCGTTCTGCAACATCCTATACAAGGATACGCAACTAACCCGGTAATAGCCACTATACGTATATACTTTTCTATTGTCCTACCCCCCCCCCTCCCCCCGCACTAAGTGTGTTTGTATGCCCATGCTGACCTTGACCCGCGCTTTACTGAAACATCTGCATAGAAGAGCTTTGTGAAGGTGAATTACTGATCTGTTGGTAAGTGCGCTCGGCGTCATCGAAAGTGGAAAT